CAATCTAAATTAATTTTGTACTCATTTATAGAGATTGTGACGGGCAACGACTTTATAGGTGTTATAGAGGAGACATTGGCGCATCGTTTAATAAAATCTCCAGAGTGGTTTATGTTCAAAAATCTCAAGTTACGGTTAAAAAACGGAAATTGTGAAATTGACAAAATGAGATTAGGGGGGGGTAGACACATTCAAGTTAATTTTGGACCCGTTTATAGAGATTGTGACGGGCAACGACTATATAGGTGTTATAGAGGAGACATTGGCGCATCGTGTAAGACAATCCTCAGAGTGGTTTATGTTCGAAAATCTGAAGTTACTGTTAAAAAACTGATATTGTCAAACTGTTAAAATGAGATTAGGGGGGGGGGGGGATACACCAATTTAAGTTAATTTTGGACCCGTCTATAGAGATTGTGACGCATAATGACTATATAGGTGTTGTAGAAGAGATATTTGCGCATTGTTTAAGAAAATCTCCAGAGTGGTTTATGTTCGAAAATCTGAAGTTACGGTTAAAAAACGGAAATTGTGAAATTGACAAAATGAGATTAGGGGGGGTAGACACATTCAAGTTAATTTTGGACCTATTTATAGAGATTGTGACGGGCAACGACTATATAGGTGTTATAGAGGAGACATTGGCGCATCGTGTAAGACAATCCTCAGAGTGGTTTATGTTCGAAAATCTGAAGTTATTGTTAAAAAAAGAAAATTGTGAAATTGGCAAAATGAAATTAGGGGGTAAGCCAATTTAAATTAATTTTGTACTCATTTATAGAGATTGTGACGGGCAACGACTATATAGGTGTTATAGAGGAGACATTGGCGCATCGTTTAAGAAAATCTCCAGAGTGGTTTATGTTCGAAAATCTGAAGTTACGGTTAAAAAACGGAAATTGTGAAATTGACAAAATGAAATTAGGGGGTAAGCCAATTTAAATTAATTTTGTACTCATTTATAGAGATTGTGACGGGTAACGACTTTATAGGTGTTATAGAGGAGACATTGGCGCATCGTTTAAGAAAATCTCCAGAGTGGTTTATGTTCGAAAATCTCAAGTTACGGTTAAAAAACGGAAATTGTGAAATTGACAAAATGAGATTAGGGGGGGTTAGACACATTCAAGTTAATTTTGGACCCGCTTATAGAGATTGTGACGGGCAACGACTATATAGGTGTTATAGAGGAGACATTGGCGCATCGTGTAAGACAATCCTCAGAGTGGTTTATGTTCGAAAATCTGAAGTTAATGTTAAAAAACTGAAATTGTCAAACTGTCAAAATGAGATTAGGGGGGGGGGGGGGTACACCAATTTAAGTTAATTTTGGACCCGTCTATAGAGATTGTGACGCATAATGACTATATAGGTGTTGTAGAAGAGATATTTGCGCATTGTTTAAGAAAATCTCCAGAGTGGTTTATGTTCGAAAATCTGAAGTTATGGTTAAAAAACGGAAATTGTGAAATTGACAAAATGCGATTAGGGGGGTAGACACATTTAAGTTAATTTCTAGCTTGTCTTTTTGAAAATTTGCCCAAATAAAAAGAAGCTGTAGCTTTGTTGTTTTTATACGGCTGTGTGATAGAAACTGATAAGGCAGCAGGAATGAAAAGGCCAATGCAGTATACATGTAGTTCATGTCCAGTACGCAATTAAAAAACAAATGTTATTTTAGCAATCGCATGTCCGTCGAATAAGGATATTGATTTTCATTTTAAGAAAAATAATTTGTACTAAGCTGGTTTTTTTATGTATGTTTTTATTTTGCTTATAGCATTTCGTCCTAATTTTTCGCCAAACACGCTATGGGCCTCTGTCAACTAGACCCTCTAACTTGACTTATGAATACAGATTGCCGCAACTCCTTGTAAATGAATTTACGGAATTCCCAAAACTTCATCTATAAGACTTATAAGACACAAAGCTGTGCACCTGCTACATTATGTTTTATCTAGGATTATTTGGGGAGGGGTTTCACATGACAAAAACAAAAGAATGGATTTTTCCATTTATAATTAATTTTTTTTTGGAGACGGTAGTCGACACAGGTTAGAAAACTCACTCCCCCCAAACAACAACAACAAAAGAGAAGACAAACGGATCTCTTGACTTGATAAGATAATCATCACTAAATAAGTACGTATACAATAATGATAACCTTTTCTCGAAAACCACATACCGGTAGTAATTTACAATAGTTTTCGATGGCAAACATCGAGGAATATATCAAACCCCATTTTTGTTTATCGCAATGACCATATGTTTTAAAGAATAAGAAGTCATTGTTCTTGAATCGTTTAATATAGATCTATAGAATAATTTTAAGGACTTAGTCTAACGCGTATTCATCAATCAACTGTATTGATATGACATAATTTTGCATTTAATTGGCCAGACACTTATGATATTTCACTGATTTAACACACCCAAAAGGAGCATTTTAAATTTCGTCTTAATTTCCAGAGTTAACTGGCATTGTTTTCATATAACATTGATAAAAAATATGGACATATACAACGGTATGATTGCCAAAGAGACGACTATGTCTATATATATATATCCACTAGAGTTCAAATGAAGTGGAAGTGAGGAATTACTGGCAACCGTATGGCCGTACTTAATTCTGTTAAGAATTCAAACGCTGCTTAAATGGACTGCGCTCTTTGTTTTATTTCACTAAAATGGCCAAATTTTAAAATGATAAAAACGCCCTATATATATTCACTGACAGTAACTTTTTTCGCTTAAAATCTTATCCCACATTGGAGCACAGCTTGTGCTTCAGAAAACTTCACACATCATCTTCTATCAATTAACTACTGATGTAGGATATCTGTGACAAAATATATTAGTATAATAGTCCCAGAGGATATCAAATATATATATAGTCTCGTTAAACAATTATCTCTTCAACAACGGAATAACGGTAATGAATATTCATTATATCAATTAATTACCTATTACGCAGGTGGTCATAGAAAAGAACAGATGTATTCCGAAAAGACTTCCGGTGTTCCGAAAGGCTACGGAGGTCGTCCAATATATACTGCGTAAGGGTTTTACGCAATTAACCAACTCGCAAACGTTTTAGATCCAAATGAATTAATCTTTATTATACCGGTAATTATTATTCCTATATACCATTTGAACAGGTTACAGTAGTGTATACTGATACATAGTTCCTGTGGAAAAAGTTTAAATAGCAAATCAGTTCAAAGTCGGTTCTGGAAGAAGTCGACAAAATGACATGTTTTGAAGTAAAGTAAATACATGTGTGACTCTCTAATCTTTATTTTCTGTCTTTATATTGTTACGCGTTAACACTACTGCCTCATGTTAAGAGTGGGTTGGGAGCCTGCAAACATTATTAACACTACCAAGTTCGCTGTATATCTGTACCAAAATCATGAGTCTCAATTTCATTGTTTGTCGTTTGTTAGAGTGTATTATATTTGCTTTTCGTTTATGAATGTTTCATACATAAATCGATGACATGCTGTGCCATTGGTTTTTGTCTTTTGATTTTTCTACTTTTGTTTTGTTGGATCCTTTTATTGCTTGCAATGCGGTATGAGTTATTCTCGTTGTCAAATGCTACGTAGGTTGACGTATATTAGCTAAAATCTACGTGATTTTGTCTCTGTTGGATATTTACCTCGTTGGTAATAATACCACATTTTCTTATTTTTATTTTTATATAAATATCTGACTGGCTTATTTTTTGGCAAATCATATTTACAAAACTATTGTTTTGAACATTTGTCAGCACCATTCAAAATACTCGTCTTACAAAATTCGTCCTTGTGCAATTATGATATAATGAACATATATATATACATGTACATGTATAATTCCACCTTATGTAATAATGCTACATATATTTAGTTTGGATGAGAAACATGGTATTTTTCACAAATTTCCTATATATGATAATAAGTTTTTCTTTACTCTGCCGGTGTATTTGCATTCATTATGGAATTCCATGTGCAGATGGGAAATGCCATGTCTGAAAATAACGCGACTTCTGAAGACCTCTAATGTTTTCGTTGAGATGGATATAAAGAGCATTCGGTGGAATTCAACACTAATATCATGTTTACAAGAGGTATACTATTGGCAAAAATACCCTTTCCTTCTAAGCAGGATATCTTTTATAGTAACCTATGTAAGACTTGGAAAACCTTTAGACATTTATTGACATGTACAATATATTTCAGATCAATTGAAGTAGTATTTGCAGTAATTTTAAATGATTAAGTAAATGAATGGGCTTGATAGTGCTTTCTTTTTTTCGATATCTCACTTTTTGTAGTAGTCATTCAAAATTCGTAATTTGTATAAATAAGCACATCTTTACTAGTAATAGATAAATGTCATACAATAATAAAGAAAATTAATAAGGAAACAGAAGAGGGCAAGTGGCCGAAACGACTTTTAAATGGTTTATTTATTACAATAACAAACAAAAAATGACACAATTATGAAATGCTTACGTTTTTCCTTTTCTTTTTCGTGAACATAAACATGCTAACAAATAAATATTTTTTCTCTCATTCTACATTTAGAATTAACAATGGGAATGGAATTAAATGAGGTTTTTTTTCTAAACATTTAATTATATATACTTCTGTTAATATTTGAAATGTATGTTCTTATTTTTTAGTTACTTTTTGTTGGGTTGCTTAATGATTGACATTTGCACTTCATTTAGTTTTATTTATATCAAATGAACACTCATTCATTTTACAATTTTACAATAACTATTGGTCTTGACAGATACAAGTTCTTAATTACTTCATTTAATTTAAGGATGAAAATGAAAAGGGATACTAATTTGCACATAACTATTACATCTTATTTACTTTTGTTTAATGAGTTTGGTCAGATGGGCATAAATCCTTCATTTTAAACAATTAAACTTGTTATAAAATATTGTAAGAGGAAATCTGTCAATGAAACCAATTAATTCACCTTAAAATTTGATGGTTCACACAATAAAATTCTAACCTTAGAGATTTGGTAAATTGTTTTAAATTGCTTTCTGTAATCATTATCATGATAATCTATCATGTGTCTCAAGATTTCAATTAAATTCATGTTTTATTAACTTATCGTTAAGAGTTTATATGACAATAAACATTTGAATTAAAGAAACAGGGTTGGGGGGACACACAAATTGAATGAAAAGTGATATTACATATTTAATATAACACAACACAATAACAAAACTTTTAACATAAATAGTTTAAGAAGGGACGTAATAGAATTGTAGCAAACTTTGCACACTTTTAAATGACTTTGTAAATCAACAAAAAATTCTCTGGTGGTATGGTCATTATTTTTCATAACAATTCTTTCGGTGGAATTTTGATAAAGTCGTGTATTTCTTCCTGAAAAGGTTCTGTTTCGTACACATTGCTATGTGTGATTTCTCGAAATCTCTACATTTTCTGCTATTTATCCGTAGCAAGTTAACTTCTGCAGCTAAAATTTTACCGCTGGTAAATCATTTGTTATTTGTCTCATAATTGTTAAAATCATATAATGGCACTCATACATATAAGTTTAAAACAGCAAGAATCAATTTCAAGTAAATTTCAAACCTTCGTTCAGTCGAATGAAGGAAATAAAATACGAAACATTCTTACACATCTTTCAAATACTCACAAATTGAACATTATATACCCGTATATATAAGTTTTTGGTGAAACACTTATATTTTCTTTCCTCCTTCATATCTTCATATTCAACTGACTTGCCGATTGCAACCTGCAACCAACAGTTTGCCCGGTATCACTTGGTCCAACTCTTTATTATATTGATTGAAATCTACATAGTAATCACAAGTCAATTTATCTACAAAACTACTTTTGAAATACCAACTGGTGTATTTTATCAATTCTTAATTTTCATCCTTATGATACTTTACATCAGAACTTGTTTTGTTCCTGTATTGTTATGAATTTCAGCAATTTTTCTATTTGTAAATAGTATAACTCTAGAACGGTAAAAGTTACGCTTCCAAAATAAAAAGGTGACCTGTGTTTTGTGGTAATAAGCATTGTGTATAAGTTTTATGACAATTGGTTAAGGCAAACTAAAGTTAGAGAACGGAAACCAATTTTGGGACGTACAGACGCACAGACGTTCAGACGAACAAGGATACATGCAGCTTAATGCACATCCGCTACAGCGGGGCATAATAAGCTAAACATTTTGATAGGTTAGTTCCTTTTTGTGATATATGATTTTTTTTTAATGGTGGGAAAAGGATGACTCAGACTTTTACATTATATTTAGCATTGACATTATTTCGGACGTACAGACGGCGGACAAGGGTAAAGCTTAATGCCCCTCCGCTACGACAGGGACATAATAAGCTAAAATATTGATATGTTAAAGAATTCCTTTTTGTGATATATGTTTTTTTAAATGAGGGAAAAGGATGACTCGGACTTTTACCTTATATTTAGCATTTGCATTATTTGGGACGTACAGGCGCACGGACGTACAGACGGACAAGGGAAAAGCTTAATTCGCCTCCGCTACGCCGTGGGCATAATAAGATAAAAATATTGATAGGTTATAGAATTCCTTTTTGTGATTGATATTTTTTTTTAAATGGGGGAACAGGATGACTCGGGGTTTTACCTTATATTTAGCATTGGCATAATTTGGGTCTCAAATTGTAAAAAAAAAATTTGGTATCTCCTAAAATTTCGATAATGACCTTTTATGAGCTATAGAAGTCTTCTATGAAAGAAAAGTAGGTGATATGGGGCAAAATCTTTTTCCCTGCATCGTTGAAAAAACCCAAGGAGTCCAAACATCTTGACAAAAATTCATAAACCTAACCTGACTACATCCTTAATACACATTCGAATTTACAAATCAAAGAAAATTAGTTCATGGAATCCATATATTATTAAATGTACAGACACTTTACAGAAATACTTGTATTTGGATAAATAAGTTGATTTTGAACTTAAATTATTGTATATGTCCGGGTTTTTTCGAAAACAGTTTGGTTCTTTTTATCGAGTGGCGTCCAAGTTTATCAAGGTATTTTTCAGACTTAAATGTAATCTATTTATGCATTTACCTTAACAAAAAAAATAAACTGCTTCGCTGAGCGCAGCTGGATACGCCCGCAGAGGTCCAGTTGGGGCAAAAATGGAATAATATTCAAGCTTGATACAGGTCTGAATTTGGATTGTAATTAAATATTTGACATATTATAGGTTTCTGAATAAATGTAGTCAAAGAACTTGAATTGAATTTATATTTAATTAAAGATATCTTGCTGTTGTGCAATACACTGTGCTGTTGCGAAATACTTAGTAAATCTGTTGTCAGACTATAAACAAATAAAGTTCAATTTCTTCTCAATGTCATATTTGAAATTTATGAAAATCAATAGGGAGATTACATCAATAGCTATAAATAATTCACCAAAGTTTCATGAGAACTGCTGAAAGCATTTTTGAGTTAATGTCCAAAAACTGGAAAATCCCTCCTTTTTTAATGAACAAAACCCCATAACTCAGAAATGTAAAATCTAAAATTTATAAAATTCTAAAGGGAGCTTTCATCAACAGATAATAACAATTCACCAAAGTTTCATGAGAACTACCGAAAGTATATTTTAGTTATTATCCAAAAACTGGAAAATCCCACTTTTTTATGAATAAAACCCTGTAACTCGGAAACGTTAAATCTAAAATTTATAAAAATCCTAAAGGGAGCTCATGTCAATAGACATATACAATTCACCAAAATTTCTTGCAAGTTGGTGAAAGCATTCTTGAGTTATTGTCGGAAAACTGGAAAATCCCCCCTTTTTTATGAATAAAACCCAAAAACTCGGAAACGGTAAATCTGATATTTATAAAAAACGAAAGGGAGCTCACGTCAATATATATTAACAATTCACCAAAGTATCATGCATATTGAATAAAGCTTTTTTGAGTTAATGTCCGACATGTTGACGACGGACGGACGGTCAACGGTATACCATAATACGTCCCGTAAACGGGCGTATAAAAATGAAGAAAACAAATCGAATAAAATACTTTTAAAAATAAAGTTCCAGTTTTCCCGCGTTGCACATATTTTATCTGTCCAAGGGCAATAATAAACGTTTAAGCCTTTTATAAATATCTTTACATGAGATCGCTCACTTTATTTTCCATATTTATATATATATTATAAATAGTATTGTCAAGGGGCATAACTCCATTAATAGTAGTTGATTGGTACACATCAAAGATCTTGCTGATATAAGCCTTCGCTATAATCTTTATAAAAATTCGACAAGAAATGTAAGTATGGGAATGCAATGTTTAATATAAACCTACGGTACTGTTTTATTTGTGTTTCGTGTCTATCTAGAGGATCAAGCCATTTCCAACTCAATTTTCCAATTTATTTTTCTAGTGTACTGTTACACCATTGTTGAGCGCTCACAAACATGTATTGTTTAACCCAGCAATAATCTGTATGTGCCTGTCCAAAGTTATGCGTCTGTTATTCTGTGGTTGTCGTTGGTTGCTGGTTGTTACATCTGTCTTGTTATAAATAAAGCCCTTAGTTTTTTCGTTTGTATTGTCACACATTTTGTCATTTCAAGGCCGATTATAAGCGAGTATATGGTATGGGTTTTGCTATTGTTAAAGGCCGGGCGGTGACATTTAATTGCTGAAATAAGCGTTATTCGGACTCTGTTGGGTAGTTGTCTCATTGGAAATGATAACCACATCTCCTTATTTTTAATTAAAAACTTTATATTGTGGCTTACCCTGAAAAGTCGGAAATCTTGATTCTTCGACATCTTGGGCTACACTGACTGAGGCCCGTATTATAAGCAACTTTTCACATAAGCACTTTCAGTCGAGCTCAGTTTTGTTTTGCAAACATGTCTTTACTATGACAATGTAATTTACACTGTTCAAATATTCAAACAATACCGCACGTCAAACTTTGTACACTAGAAAAAAAACTGACTATGAAAGTACTGTGGACGTAGTGACAGTTTTTCAGCACCGTAACATATTCACTAGAATTATTTCACACGCGAGTGAATGTAAAAGTATTTATTTTCTAAAAAAATATAAGTTCGATATTGCACAGCTAATACTTATAAAATCTAGAAACAACTGATTAAATTAAAAGTTGACAAACACTAAAATTGGAACACGTGCATCCTAGTTCATGAGAAAGATAATAAACCGTTATTAGCTACCACAGACGAACATCTATCAACTCTTGCCATAAACTTGCGTATCGTCCCCATAAAATTTATGAATTTTACAGATGCCGAGTTCGGACAGATAATAAGATAAACATTGATGTAAACACCAATTAAAATTTTAAATTCAAATCAAAGTTGTGTTTTAAATTTCGTTTTTGTATTACTGTTCTCTCATATTTTCCATTATTTGTAAAAAAAAACAAATTGAAATTTTCTCAGTCAAATAATTTGACAAAATTTATCAGAAGTTTAGCTATTACCCTATTATCCTCAACGAAGCTCGGAGATAAATATACGTTCACCCGATGCGCCAATGACTCCTCTACAACACCTATATAGTCGTTCCCCGTCACAATCTCTTTAAAATGGTCCAAATTTTTCTTTTAGTGCCCTACCCCCCTAATCTCATTTTGTCAATTTCACAATAAAATTTTCAGTTTTTGAACCGAAACTTCTGATTTTCGAACATAAACCACTCTGGAGATTTTCTTAAACGATGCGCCAATGTCTCTTCTACAACACCTATATAGTCGTTGCCGTCACAATCTCTTTAAAATGGTCCAAATTTTTCTTTTAGTCCCCTACCCCCCTAATCTCATTTTGTCAATTTCACAATAAAATTTTCAGTTTTTTAACCGAAACTTCTGATTTTCGAACATAAATCACTCTGGGGATTTTCTTAAACGATGCGCCAATGTCTCTTCTACAACACCTATATAGTCGTTGCCCGTCACAATCTCTTTAAAATGGTCAACATTTTTCTTTTAGTGACCTACCCCCCTAATCTCATTTTGTCATTTTCACAATAAAATTTTCAGTTTTTTAACCGTAACTTCAGATTTTCGAACATAAACCACTCTGGAGATTTTCTTAACCGATGCGCCAATGTCTCCTTTACAACACCTATATAGTCGTTGCCCGTCACAATCTCTTTAAAATGGTCCAAAATTAACTTAAATTGCCCTACCCCCCTAATCTCATTTTGTCAATTTCACAATTTCATTTTTTTAACCGAAACTTCAGATTTTCGAACATAAACCACTCTGGAGATTTTCTTAAACGATGCGCCAATGTCTCCTCTACAACACCTATATAGTCGTTGCCCGTCACAATCTCTTTAAAATGGTCCAAAATTAACTTAAATTGCCCTACCCTCCTTATCTCATTTTGTCAATTTCACAATTTCATTTTTTTAACCGCAACTTCAGATTTTCGAACATAAACCACTCTGGAGATTTTCTTAAACGATGCGCCAATGTCTCTTCTACAACACCTATATAGTCGTTGCCCGTCACAATCTCTTTAAAATGATCCAATTTTTTCTTTTAGTGCCCTACCCCCCCAATCTCATTTTGTCAATTTCACAATAAATTTTCAGTTTTTTAACCGTAACTTCAGATTTTCGAACATAAACCACTCTGGAGATTTTCTTAAACGATGCGCCATTGTCTCCTCTACAACACCTATATAGTCGTTGCCCGTCACAATCTCTTGAAATTGGTCCAAAATTAACTTAAATTGGCCTACCCCCTTAATCTCATTTTGTCAATTTCACAATTTCAGTTTTTTAACCGTAACTCCAGATTTTCGAACATAAACCACTCTGGAGATTTTCTTAAACGAAGCGCCAATGTCTCTTCCACAACACCTATATAGTCGTTGCCCGTCACAATCTCTTTAAAATGGTCCAAAATTAACTTAAATTGCCCTACCCCCCTAATCTCATTTTGTCAATTTCACAATTTCATTTTTTTAACCGCAACTTCAGATTTGCGAACATAAACCACTCTGGAGATTTTCTTAAACGATGCGCCAATGTCTCTTCTACAACACCTATATAGTCGTTGCCCGTCACAATCTCTTTAAAATGGTCCAAATTTTTCTTTTAGTGCCCTACCCCCCCAATCTCATTTTGTCAATTTCACAATAAAATTTTCAGTTTTTTAACCGTAACTTCAGATTTTCGAACATAAACCACTCTGGAGATTTTCTTAAACGATGCGCCAATGTCTCTTCTACAACACCTATATAGTCGTTGCCCGTCACAATCTCTTTAAAATGGTCCAAATTTTTCTTTTAGTGCCCTACCCCCCTAATCTCATTTTGTCAATTTCACAATAAAATTTTCAGTTTTTTAACCGTAACTTCAGATTTTCGAACATAAACCACTCTGAAGATTTTCTTAAACGATGCGCCATTGTCTCCTTTACAACACCTATATAGTCGTTGCCCGTCATAATCTCTTAAAATTGGTCCAAAATTAACTTAAATTGGCCTACCCCCCTAATCTCATTTTGTCAATTTCACAATTTCAGTTTTTTAACCGTAACTTCAAATTTTCAAACATAAACCACTCTGGAGATTTTCTTAACCGATGCGCCAATGTCTCCTCTACAACACCTATATAGTCGTTGCCCGTCACAATCTCTTTAAAATGGTCCAAAATTTTCTTTTAGTGCCCTACCCCCCTAATTTCATTTTGTCAATTTCACAATAAAATTTTCAGTTTTTTAACCGTAACTTCAGATTTTCGAACATAAACCACTCTGGAGATTTTCTTAAACGATGCGCCAATGTCTCTTCCATAACACCTATATAGTCGTTGCCCGTCACAATCTCTTTAAAATGGTCCAAAATTAACTTAAATTGCCCTACCCCCCCTAATCTCATTTTGTCAATTTCACAATTTCATTTTTTTAACCGCAACTTCAGATTTTCGAACATAAACCACTCTGGAGATTTTCTTAAACGATGCGCCAATGTCTCCTCTACAACACCTATATAGTCGATGCCCGTCACAATCTCTTTAAAATGGTCCAAATTTTTCTTTTAGTGCCCTACCCCCCAATCTCATTTTGTCAATTTCACAATAAAATTTTCAGTTTGTTTAACCGTAACTTCAGATTTTCGAACATAAACCACTCTGCAGATTTTCTTAACCGATGCGCCAATGTCTCCTCTACAACACCTATATAGTCGTTGCCCGTCACAATTTCTTTAAAATGGTCCAAATTTTTCTTTTAGTGCCCTACACCCCTATTCTCATTTTGTCAATTTCACAATAAAATTTTCAGTTTTTTAACCGTAACTTCAGATTTTCGAACATAAACCACTCTGGAGATTTTCTTAAACGATGCGCCAATGCCTCCTCCACAACACCTATATAGTCGTTGCCCGTCACAATCTCTTTAAAATGGTCCAAATTTTTCTTTTAGTGCCCTACCCCCCTAATCTCATTTTGTCAATTTCACAATAAAATTTTCAGTTTTTTAACCGTAACTTCAGATTTTCGAACATAAACCACTCTGGAGATTTTCCTAAACGATGCGCCAATGTATCCTCTACAACACCTATATAGTCGTTGCCCGTCACAATCTCTTTAAAATGGTCCAAATTTTTCTTTTAGTGCCCTACCCCCCTAATTTCATTTTGTCAATTTCACAATAAAATTTTCAGTTTTTTAACCGTAACTTCAGATTTTCGAACATAAACCACTCTGGAGATTTTCTTAAACGATGCGCCAATGTCTCTTCAACAACACCTATATAGTCGTTGCCCGTCACAATCTCTTTAAAATGGTCCAAAATTAACTTAAATTGCCCTACCCCCCCTAATCTCATTTTGTCAATTTCACAATTTCAGTTTTTTAACCGTAACTTCAGATTTTCGAACATAAACCACTCTGGAGATTTTCTTAAACGATGCGCCAATGTCTCTTCTACAACACCTATATAGTCGTTGCCCGTCACAATCTCTTTAAAATGGTCCAAATTTTTCTTTTAGTGCCCTACCCCCTAATTTCATTTTGTCAATTTCACAATAAAATTTTCAGTTTTTTAACCGTAACATCAGATTTTCGAACATAAACCACTCTGGAGATTTTCTTAAACGATGCGCCAATGTCTCTTCCACAACACCTATATAGTCGTTGCCCGTCACAATCTCTTTAAAATGGTCCAAATTTTTCTTTTAGTGCCCTACCCCCCCCCCCCCCCCCCCCTAATCTCATTTTGTCAATTTCACAATAAAATTTTCAGTTTTTTAACCGTAACTTCAGATTTTCGAACATAAACCACTCTGGAGATTTTCCTAAACGATGCGCCAATGTCTCCTCTACAACACCTATATAGTCGTTGCCCGTCACAATCTCTTGAAATTGGTCCAAAATTAACTTAAATTGGCCTACCCCCTTAATCTCATTTTGTCAATTTCACAATTTCAGTTTTTTAACCGTAACTCCAGATTTTCGAACATAAACCACTCTGGAGATTTTCTTAAACGAAGCGCCAATGTCTCTTCCACAACACCTATATAGTCGTTGCCCGTCACAATCTCTTTAAAATGGTCCAAAATTAACTTAAATTGCCCTACCCCCCCTAATCTCATTTTGTCAATTTCACAATTTCATTTTTTTAACCGCAACTTCAGATTTGCGAACATAAACCACTCTGGAGATTTTCTTAAACGATGCGCCAATGTCTCTTCTACAACACCTATATAGTCGTTGCCCGTCACAATCTCTTTAAAATGGTCCAAATTTTTCTTTTAGTGCCCTACCCCCCCAATCTCATTTTGTCAATTTCACAATAAAATTTTCAGTTTTTTAACCGTAACTTCAGATTTTCGAACATAAACCACTCTGGAGATTTTCTTAAACGATGCGCCAATGTCTCTTCTACAACACCTATATAGTCGTTGCCCGTCACAATCTCTTTAAAATGGTCCAAATTTTTCTTTTAGTGCCCTACCCCCCTAATCTCATTTTGTCAATTTCACAATAAAATTTTCAGTTTTTTAACCGTAACTTCAGATTTTCGAACATAAACCACTCTGAAGATTTTCTTAAACGATGCGCCATTGTCTCCTTTACAACACCTATATAGTCGTTGCCCGTCATAATCTCTTAAAATTGGTCCAAAATTAACTTAAATTGGCCTACCCCCCTAATCTCATTTTGTCAATTTCACAATTTCAGTTTTTTAACCGTAACTTCAAATTTTCAAACATAAACCACTCTGGAGATTTTCTTAACCGATGCGCCAATGTCTCCTCTACAACACCTATATAGTCGTTGCCCGTCACAATCTCTTTAAAATGGTCCAAAATTTTCTTTTAGTGCCCTACCCCCCTAATTTCATTTTGTCAATTTCACAATAAAATTTTCAGTTTTTTAACCGTAACTTCAGATTTTCGAACATAAACCACTCTGGAGATTTTCTTAAACGATGCGCCAATGTCTCTTCCACAACACCTATATAGTCGTTGCCCGTCACAATCTCTTTAAAATGGTCCAAAATTAACTTAAATTGCCCTACCCCCCTAATCTCATTTTGTCAATTTCACAATTTCATTTTTTTAACCGCAACTTCAGATTTTCGAACATAAACCACTCTGGAGATTTTCTTAAACGATGCGCCAATGTCTCCTCTACAACACCTATATAGTCGATGCCCATCACAATCTCTTTAAAATGGTCCAAATTTTTCTTTTAGTGCCCTACCCCCCAATCTCATTTTGTCAATTTCACAATAAAATTTTCAGTTTGTTTAACCGTAACTTCAGATTTTCGAACATAAACCACTCTGCAGATTTTCTTAACCGATGCGCCAATGTCTCCTCTACAACACCTATATAGTCGTTGCCCGTCACAATTTCTTTAAAATGGTCCAAATTTTTCTTTTAGTGCCCTACACCCCTATTCTCATTTTGTCAATTTCACAATAAAATTTTCAGTTTTTTAACCGTAACTTCAGATTTTCGAACATAAACCACTCTGGAGATTTTCTTAAACGATGCGCCAATGCCTCCTCCACAACACCTATATAGTCGTTGCCCGTCACAATCTCTTTAAAATGGTCCAAATTTTTCTTTTAGTGCCCTACCCCCCCTAATCTCATTTTGTCAATTTCACAATAAAATTTTCAGTTTTTTAACCGTAACTTCAGATTTTCGAACATAAACCACTCTGGAGATTTTCCTAAACGATGCGCCAATGTATCCTCTACAACACCTATATAGTCGTTGCCCGTCACAATCTCTTTAAAATGGTCCAAATTTTTCTTTTAGTGCCCTACCCCCCTAATTTCATTTTGTCAATTTCACAATAAAATTTTCAGTTTTTTAACCGTAACATCAGATTTTCGAACATAAACCACTCTGGAGATTTTCTTAAACGATGCGCCAATGTCTCTTCCACAACACCTATATAGTCGTTGCCCGTCACAATCTCTTTAAAATGGTCCAAATTTTTCTTTTAGTGCCCTACCCCCCCCCCCCCCCCTAATCTCATTTTGTCAATTTCACAATAAAATTTTCAGTTTTTTAACCGTAACTTCAGATTTTCGAACATAAACCACTCTGGAGATTTTCCTAAACGATGCGCCAATGTCTCCTCTACAACACCTATATAGTCGTTGCCCGTCACAATCTCTTTAAAATGGTCCAAATTTTTTTTTTAGTGCCCTACCCCCCTAATTTCATTTTGTCAATTTCACAATAAAATTTTCAGTTTTTTAACCGTAACTTAAGATTTTCGAACATAAAGCACTCTGGAGATTTTCTTAAACGATGCGCCAATGTCTCTTCAACAACACCTATATAGTCGTTGCCCGTCACAATCTCTTTAAAATGGTCCAAAATTAACTTAAATTGCCCTACCCCCCTAATCTCATTTTGTCAATTTCACAATTTCATTTTTTTAACCGCAACTTCAGATTTTCGAACATAAACCACTCTGGAGATTTTTTTAAACGATGCGCCAATGTCTCCTCTACAACACCTATATAGTCGTTGCCCGTCACAATCTCTTTAAAATGGTCCAAATTTTTCTTTTAGTGCCCTACCCCCCAATCTCATTTTGTCAATTTCACAATAAAATTTTCAGTTTGTTTAACCGTAACTTCAGATTTTCGAACATAAACCACTCTGGAGATTTTCTTAACCGATGCGCCAATGTCTCCTCTACAACAACTATATAGTCGTTGCCCGTCACAATCTCTTTAAAATGGTCCAAATTTTTCTTTTAGTGCCCTACCCCCCTATTCTCATTTTGTCAATTTCACAATAAAATTTTCAGTTTTTTAACCGTAACTTCTGATTTTCGAACATAAACCACTCTGGAGATTTTCTTAAACGATGCGCCAATGTCTCTTCCATAACACCTATATAGTCGTTGCCCGTCACAATCTCTTTAAAATAGTCCAAAATTAACTTAAATTGCCCTACCCCCCTAATCTCATTTTGTCAATTTCACAATTTCATTTTTTTAACCGCAACTTCAGATTTTCGAACATAAACCACTCTGGAGATTTTCTTAAACGATGCGCCAATGTCTCCTCTACAACACCTATATAGTCGTTGCCCGTCACAATCTCTTTAAAATGGTCCAAATTTGTCTTTTAGTGCCCTATCCCCCTAATCTCATTTTGTCATTTTCTCAATAAAATTTTCAGTTTGTTTAACCGTAACTTCAGATTTTCGAACATAAACCACTCTGGAGATTTTCCTAAACGATGTGCCAATGTCTCCTCTACAACACCTATATAGTCGTTGCCCGTCACAATCTCTTTAAAATGGTCCAAATTTTTCTTTTAGTGCCCTACCCCCCCAATCTCATTTTGTCAATTTCACAATAAAATTTTCAGTTTGTTTAACCGTAACTTCAGATTTTCGAACATAAACCACTCTGGAGATTTTCTTAACCGATGTGCCAATGTCTCCTCTACAACACCTATATAGTCGTTGCCCGTCACAATCTCTTTAAAATGGTCTAATATTTTCTTTTAGTGCCCTACCCCCCTATTCTCATTTTGTCAATTTCACAATAAAATTTTCAGTTTTTTAACCGTAACTTCAGATTTTCGAACATAAACCACTCTGGAGATTTTCCTAAACGATGCGCCAATGTCTCCTCTACAACACCTATATAGTCATTGCCCGTCACAATCTCTTTAAAATGGTCCAAATTTTTCTTTTAGTGCCCTACGCCCCCCCCCCCCTAATCTAATTTGGTCAATTTCACAATAAAATTTTCAGTTTTTTAACCGTAACTTCAGATTTTCGAACATAAACCACTCTGGAGATTTTCTTAAACGATGCGCCAATGTCTCTTCCACAACACCTATATAGTCGTTGCCCGTCACAATCTCTTTAAAATGGTCCAAAATTAACTTAAATTGCCCTACCCCCCTAATCTCATTTTGTCAATTTCACAATTTCATTTTTTTAACCGCAACTTCAGATTTTCGAACATAAACCACTCTGGAGATTTTCTTAAACGATGCGCCAATGTCTCCTCTACAACACCTATATAGTCGTTGCCCGTCACAATCTCTTTAAAATGGTCCAAATTTTTCTTTTAGTGCCCTACTCCCCAATCTCATTTTGTCAATTTCACAATAAAATTTTCAGTTTGTTTAACCGTAACTTCAGATTTTCGAACATAAACCACTCTGCAGATTTTCTTAACCGATGCGCCAATGTCTCCTCTACAACACCTATATAGTCGTTGCCCGTCACAATCTCTTTAAAATGGTCCAAATTTTTCTTTTAGTGCCCTACCCCCCTATTCTCATTTTGTCAATTTCACAATAAAATTTTCAGTTTTTTAACTGTAACTTCAGATTTTCGAACATAAACCACTCTGGAGATTTTCTTAAACGATGCGCCAATGTCTCTTCCACAACACCTATATAGTCGTTGCCCGTCACAATCTCTTTAAAATGGTCCAAATTTTTCTTTTAGTGCCCTACCCCCCCCCGCCCCTAATCTCATTTTGTCAATTTCACAATAAAATTTTCAGTTTTTTAACCGTAACTTCAGATTTTCGAACATAAACCACTCTGGAGATTTTCCTAAACGATGCGCCAATGTCTCCTCTACAACACCTATATAGTCGTTGCCCGTCACAATCTCTTTAAAATGATCCAAAATTAACTTAAATTGCCCTACCACCCTAATCTCATTTTGTCAATTTCACAATAAAATTTTCAGTTTTTTAACCGTAACTTCAGATTTTCGAACATAAAGCACTCTGGAGATTTTCTTAAACGATGCGCCAATGTCTCTTCAATAACACCTATATAGTCGTTGCCCGTCACAATCTCTTTAAAATGGTCCAAATTTTTCTTTTAGTGCCCTACCCCCCTAATCTCATTTTGTCATTTTCTCAATAAAATTTTCAGTTTTTTAACTGTAACTTCAGATTTTCGAACATAAACCACTCTGGAGATTTTCTTAAACGATGCGTCAATGTCTCTTTCACAACACCTATATAGTCGTTGCCCGTCACAATCTCTTTAAAATGATCCAAAATTAACTTAAATTGCCCTACCCCCCTAATCTCATTTTGTCAATTTCACAATTTCATTTTTTTAACCGCAACTTCAGATTTTCGAACATAAACCACTCTGGAGATTTTCTTAAACGATGTGCCAATGTCTCCTCTACAACACCTATATAGTCGTTGCCCGTCACAATCTTTTTAAAATGGTCCAAATTTTTCTTTTAGTGCCCTACCCCCCAATCTCATTTTGTCAATTTCACAATAAAATTTTCAGTTTGTTTAACCGTAACTTCAGATTTTCGAACATAAACCACTCTGCAGATTTTCTTAACCAATGCGCCAATGTCTCCTCTACAACACCTATATAGTCGTTGCCCGTCACAATCTCTTTAAAATGGTCCAAATTTTTCTTTTAGTGCCCTACCCCCCTATTCTCATTTTGTCAATTTCACAATAAAATTTTCAGTTTTTTAACCGTAACTTCAGATTTTCGAACATAAACCACTCTGGAGATTTTCTTAAACGATGCGCCAATGTCTCTTCCACAACACCTATATAGTCGTTGCCCGTCACAATCTCTTTAAAATGGTCCAAAATTAACTTAAATTGCCCTACCCCCATAATCTCATTTTGTCAATTTCACAATTTCATTTTTTTAACCGCAACTTCAGATTTTCGAACATAAACCACTCTGGAGATTTTCTTAAACGATGTGCCAATGTTTCTTCTACAACACCTATATAGTCGTTGCCCGTCACAATCTCTTTAAAATGGTCCAAATTTTTCTTTTAGTGCCCTACCCCCCTAATATCATTTTGTCATTTTCTCAATAAAATTTTCAGTTTTTTAACAGTAACTTCTGATTTTCGAACATAAACCACTCTGGAGATTTTCTTAAACGATGCGCCAATGTCTCCTCTACAACACCTATATAGTCGTTGCCCGTCACAATCTCTTTAAAATGGTCCAAATTTTTCTTTTAGTGCCCTACCCCCCTAATCTCATTTTGTCATTTTCTCAATAAAATTTTCAGTTTTTTAACTGTAACTTCAGATTTTCGAACATAAACCACTCTGGAGATTTTCTTAAACGATGCGCCAATGTCTCTTCCACAACACCTATATAGTCGTTGCCCGTCACAATCTCTTTAAAATGGTCCAAATTTTTCTTTTAGTGCCCTACCCCCCAATCTCATTTTGTCAATTTCACAATAAAATTTTCAGTTTGTTTAACCGTAACTTCAGATTTTCGAACATAAACCACTCTGCAGATTTTCTTAACCGATGCGCCAATGTCTCCTCTACAACACCTATATAGTCGTTGCCCGTCACAATCTCTTTAAAATGGTCCAAATTTTTCTTTTAGTGCCCTACCCCCCTATTCTCATTTTGTCAATTTCACAATAAAATTTTCAGTTTTTTAACCGTAACTTCAGATTTTCGAACATAAACCACTCTGGAGATTTTCTTAAACGATGCGCCAATGTCTCTTCCACACCACCTATATAGTCGTTGCCCGTCACAATCTCTTTAAAATGGTCCAAATTTTTCTTTTAGTGCCCTACCCCCCTAATCTCATTTTGTCAATTTCACAATAAAATTTTCAGTTTTTTAACCGTAACTTCAGATTTTCGAACATAAACCACTCTGGAGATTTTCCTAAACGATGCGCCAATGTCTCCTCTACAACACCTATATAGTTGTTGCCCGTCACAATCTCTTTAAAATGGTCCAAATTTTTCTTTTAGTGCCCTACCCCCCTAATTTCATTTTGTCAATTTCACAATAAAATTTTCAGTTTTTTAACCGTAACTTCAGATTTTCGAACATAAACCACTCTGGAGATTTTCTTAAACGATGCGCCAATGTCTCCTCCACAACACCTATATAGTCGTTGCCCGTCACAATCTCTTTAAAATGGTCCAAAATTAACTTAAATTGCCCTACCCCCCTAATCTCATTTTGTCAATTTCACAATTTCATTTTTTTAAC